TGTACATTTCTTCTTCATTCATTGCGATCGAAAACCGAGTGATTGAAATAAAAACCGTTGAATTACGATGGCAAAGGATCAACATTTGTATCTGCGCGCGCGCGCTTCCGTGAACTGAACTCAACCTAACCTAACTTTTCACCTAACGATTTAACTAACGAAACTATATTTTTTGTTACAGATCCGCAGCAGAACGCGGCTGACTCTGTCTGCTGTGTATCGGTGAGTCAGAGAAGAAAAGACATTTTTATGGTGATGGGCGTTTGCAATATCTCGAGAAAATCAATGCGATTTAATTATACTTTTTTCACACGTTGCTCGAAATAATCAGGAGATCGTGTCTTTCAATGACCGTATTACACAACAGAATCTTTAAAATATAATATATATTTCTCTCTTTTATATTTACTCTGTATCATTAGAAGATACAGATATAAATGCTTTAGTTTGTTATTATATTGAAATCAAGATATGGAATTATTTGCTGCGATTCAATCAATATAACTCCTGCTTCGAGTAGTGTGTAATGTTAAAATTTGATCAGAATAGTGTCATCGCACGTAAAATTTACCATTATTTATCTTATTTGGCTTGATAAATTTTATGTCTGTCGAGTTTATGAATTTTCTACATTTTTCACGCGTGTCAAAAGCGATAATATTTCATTTGAGATTACCGATAAATTCGATACGCGCGTTTATTTACATTACAACTTAGTCCTTACGAAACAAGACGTGCGTTTCTTTCGAATTACCGTTTGCGAAATAAAACATTTTCGTTTTTTCTTTCTTGTCTAAACGTAATTTTCATTCGCGATTGATTCTACGCGAATCGCGTCTCACGTATACATTCTCGGAACGTTGCAATTTATCGTGCTTACTTCTTCGTGGGATAAAAATCTCATCTCTTGAACGCGACCATATACGCGCTTCTTTGTCTCGCCATTTCTTTTCCTTAAATCTCACCGGAATTAATGGAAGAGAAAAGACAAACAAAGAGGAAGAAAAAGCGACAAAACATTGTGAAAAAAGAAACTTGTCCTGAATCCTGAGGAGACATTGGACGGATGCATAGTTACAGGAATCAACGAAAGTCGGTGAGTGTGCAGATCAAACGCTCAAAAAGCGTCATGTTTTATAATGCATGCTCATATATAAATATATAAATCGCATTGGTTTTCGGCCAGAGATAATAAAAAATAGTGCGCGATAATCTATGCGCTCATATCTAGTTTAATAAGAATATGAATTGCGAGAAGTATTGTTTACTTCCTCTCTGATCATTGCGGAAATATTTATTCTGCGAAAAATTATACGCGGAACCTTGAAAGTGATAATCGATAAGATATATATTTGACGAATGAAAAACCATACTGATTGCACTGAAGCTTCTTTTTGCAACACTTTATACGAATATTAATCTGATATTTTGTGCATAATATTTTATGCGCAGTGTCAATTTAAAACAAATTTAACGAATCACTGCTACGGCAGTCTCTTCCTCGATATACATCAACATATTTTTTCTCATGCTCGTGCTTCGGCTTCGAGCTAGCAAAAATACTAGCGACCGCGTTCCTCATCAATGTGACCTCGGCAATGTTTACACCTCGGCAGGCGCGATCCCATGCTCGTTGTTTACGTCCGATAATTTCCAACATGTCTATTTCTTTCCGCGAAGGCGCGTTTGATTAACTGGGCTAGATGGTATCCCAATAAAGAGAAGTGCCTGACAGTTCTTATCTTATCCCGTACCATCTGGTTTTACGTTAGCGCGAATGATTACAATTACATCGCGCGGTAAACGAAAACAAGCGAGACGGTGTTTTACAAGGGCACCGTATTTTTACGACGACGACTCTCGCGAGTTTGCCGATTCTCCCCGCGCGTGTGTAAAAATTAAGAGTCAAGAGGACTCTCCGCGATGAAATTAAACAGTTTACGACGAGAGGAAGATAGTCTATATGGTGTTTTCGACTCGACTTCGAGCCTCGAAGAGGACGCGCAGAGCCGTGCCATCTTTGGCACACGTTTATCTCGCGCGGAGCCAAACTGTTGACTCTGTGAATTGTGTGTTATTGCTTTTATGGGGACGAAAGGGAGTGAAATAGGCTCTAATATTCCGCGGCGATAAAAGTTGCGCAATGGATCTGGGAAACATCGTTCCTTACTGCCATAGAACGCGGAAATGACCGGCTATTTATCAGATCGCGCTGGGAACGACTGGGAAAATTCATTTTTCATAAAATTCTTTGTTTCTTACGATGATATATTTTATGTCGCGTGTTAATGCGATTTAGGAAAGCACAGCGTCTGAATTTGTATAAATTTATCGTCCCTCAAAGTGCACTTTTTCCACTTATATATGTTTTATTGAAACGAGTGGCGTGAAACAAATAATATAACTAAATTATCATATTTTGATACTAATGTTCATGCTTCTCAATCGAAGCCTTATTTTCATCTTCCTTTGGTAAGAAAGTGCATGTGTACCATCAGGCATTAATACTTACAAGTAACAGATTGGCAGCCGACTGCAGTACAGATTCACTCGTAGGGATATTGTTTGCTCCGTGCTGTAAACATGTCACGAGACCTTTGATTTTCGAAGCCAGAGAATTAAATATGCTCCCGCAACCTTCGATTCCTGGTAGAAGAAATATCTGCTTTCTGTCTGCCTCATTTCTCGTAGTCATCTCCAAGCAAATATCCGGAACTATGTCTGAACCGCTCATTAAATGAATTAGAAATTTTATACCCGTAGAATCGAGTACCTCAGTCTTCTCGAAGCACTTGTCTTTGTCGGTCATATCGTGGAGTTTCTCGAAAGTGACAGTTTGAATGTCCTGTGTCATAAGGTAAACGTCGAATTCTTCCTCCAACGTTATCATCGAATCCATACCGATCTCTGACAATGGGATGCGAAGTCCGACCGTTTTCGTATCTTTCACTCCTAGGCAAGCAAAGACGACAGAATATAAGACCCTTGGTTTCTTACCGCGATATTCATTTACGACAACAGATGGTACGAGAATGAATATATACAATATTTTGGCCATCCACCAGGTGTTTTATAAAACTGTAATAGTTAATATTTATTGCATTTTGGACAGTAGAAAGAAATGGTGTAAGGGGAAGTTGAATGGCTTGATGAGCACACTATTTTTTTTATGCAGTTAATTTTTTTGTTGGTGCAATAAATGTTAGTCCAGAAAAATGCAGTTACGTTTTTATTTTAAATAGAATCTCCTTATTTTTTGTATGAGTTGATTTTTAAAGTATTCTGCATAAACAAATAGAGTAAAACAATTCAAAAATGAAAGTTAATGAGAAACTTTATATTTTATAAATATTTTTGTTACGATAATTCATTTAATAATATAGCGTTCACGGTAAATGTTGTTTTCAACAATGACATCAGATGAAAAACCAACCGATATAATTGCAAATGTCTATTGTTACGAATTAAAAGCTCGCGAAAGAAGTGTTTTTAAATTCATATTCATGTGGGTCACATCCTGGATATGACGTTCTTGAAAATATCGTATCACGGCGGATGCTAGACAAATACGTTAGAGAAGGTTAAAGGTGTAATATTGGAAAACATTGATTAACTCTTTGCCTAATGTTGCAATAATGCGTAGCTGTTCAGCCCGCTGTATTTCATTTTTATTCATAACGTGACAAAACAAAAGTTCGAAATATATCTTCTGTCTATTCTAACTCTATTTTGTGCAACTCAGTGTACAAAGTTCAAAATGAAAATAACTAATGGATTTGAAAACATTAGGGAAAATCCGAAAGGGCTACAAAGAGTTCGGGAAGAAGACTTCCCTTAGGAGGAAGGCTTAGAGTCTACATTCATGCAGAAGGAGATCATTTTGAACACCTGATATAATTTTTACATTCTCACATACACACACATACACACATATGGCAAAGAGGGTCACTTTGGAGTCATTAAATACAGGAATGACGAACTGTGGGGTCTTGATCTCTGCCAAGGGATGCTAAGTAGGCTGTACCTCCACGTGGTGCATCCTGGGTAGTGCTAAAGCAGTTTTTATTTGCAACTTTTATTTGATTTTAGTTATGTTTTGAAATTCATAAAAACCATTTCATGTTTCAATTTTGACAAAAAAATTCGAAAGCAAAACAATTTCAAATTTTAACATAAAATGGCGATAACTCGAAAACAACGCATTTTCGTACCTACAGTCCCTGGCCAAAAAATCTGAAAAAAATCTAATGCGTCTATTAATTTGGCCAGGGACTGTGTCAACTTTCTTTCTTGTTTTTGGTTCCCCACTCATCTTCTGAGCAATTTATTTCGACTTACGGAACACACTGTATACCCAGGGTGACACACAGGGTGTCCCAGAATAATTTTTACGGAGACACTCGTGAGGACACAAAGAGCGTGTGTGTGTGTGTGTGTGTGCGCGCGCATGTATGTGTGGTTTTATACAACCTTCAATCTTCAAAACGACTTCCAACAATATAATCTGTCGCCTATATACAGGATGTCTGAGATCATCTGAACAATCTCTCGTGGAGTCGTAGAGAGAATCGAAGCGAACACAAAAGTTCCATATCATTTTGCAAAATTCGCAATTATTATTGAATTAATAATTACGGAAATTTGAAGACTGAAATGGATGATTGGAAAAGCACTGCAGCCACTCTAGCCACAGTTGATCTAGCAACTACTGCCGACGCGCGGCGAGAAGAAAGACAGTGCTCCGTTATTCGACAATGCACTAATCTTATTTCTCCTATACCTAAATCCTTATTTCTCTTATTCTCCTAATCTTATTTCTTCTTACTGATCCTATGCGTTATGCTACTCTGTATAGTGTGATTCTGATATTTACATTTTTGTGATTACGAGGTGACGGGCATTCGCTCAGCGAATCACCGGAATACAAACAAAAAATACATCCTATTTACAAAAAGGTAGGAAAGTCACAACGACGCGAGGATCCGAGCGCCTCAGCATCGTCAGTGATTGACACATGTTTTTTCGTAAATGTGCAGGTTGAACTTCGCCCTGTTGCCGTATGACTTGCCGCACATAACGCACGTGAAGGGCTCCGCGTCATCATGGTAGCGCATATGTGCGAGGTATATCTTTTGATCAGGATACGGTATATCGCAGTATAAGCACACGTAACGATCATGATCTACGGGTGGTTTGTTGTGCGTCAATACGTCCTCGCACTTTTCGCTCGATTCCGCAGCATCTGAGGCAGCCGCTTCCGGGACGGACGAAGTCGACGGAGCTGAAGCGGCCATGGACGAGGTCGACGGGACTGACGTAACCGTGGGCAAGGTCGATTGGCAGAGTCTCTTCTCGCTCTGCATCTGTTCCTCGTCCGTGTCCTCCTCTTTCTCCGCCATTCGCTCCAGTTTTACGGTGGCGCCCTTGCGCCTCCTGGTGCCGGCCATCTTCGATGAGTTCGCTAGGTTCAACGACACCTGCTGACATTGTAACTGCCGGCTGTTGTTACTGGTTGCTTCATTCCTCAGCGAGCTTGAACTCAAGTCCAACGGCATGTTGGCGGATATGTTAAACTGTTCGTCCAGTTGCTCTTCTTGGCCGCTGATGGCCAGACACTCGGCTGTGGAGTCTTCGAAAAAGTTGGCCGCCGTAACACTCGTCGCTAGAGTCGTCTCAACGATTTGCTCTGCTGCATCTCCGGTGTCCTGCTGTTCCGCTTTGTCATTCAACGTTGTTGTCATATCAAGAACGGAGTCATCGTTCGATATCAGTCGCTGCGTCACTATGTTTAAGTTATCGAACCAATATTGAAACGGATAAGTGCCCGTTTCCTGGTTAGTCTGGTTATCCTCCTGGGTCACTAGGTTGGCGTTTTTCCTACGTTCTTCGAATATACTTGTGAGCATGCTGAAAGTAAACGGCGTGGATGCGGACGTAGAATCCTCCGATGTCGACGGCAACGTTTGCGTTGACTTCGACGTAGACTGTTGATTGCTGCTATTGCTGTTGCTGTTCCCTCCATCTGCAGTGCTAACTGTCTGTGTGGTGGTACTGGTGCTATCGTTCGGTTGTCCCGTCGTCGTCATCGTTGCCGTCGCCGTCATCGTTTCCGTCGACGTCGACGGCCTGTTGTCGATGATGTTACTACTGATGATGCTACTATCGTTGTTATTATTGTTATTATTTTTGTTATTATTTTTTTTATTATTGTTATTATTTTTGTTATTATTCTTGTTTAGTCTTCGCCTAGGTCCGCGTCTCGTACCGTAAACGTCGATCACTATCGGGCTCAACGTACCGTCCGCGTTCAACACTTCCGCCGGCTCGTGATTATATTTGCGCAGGTGCTGTTTCAACGTATGGCAGTACTTGGTGGCGTAATCACAGTTTTTACACCTGTATTGATAGATGGTCGAGTGCGACTTCATGTGACTGTTCAACATCGACTTGTTCACGCATGTATACGAACATATGGAGCACTTGTATGGTTTCGAGCCAGTGTGATTCAGCAAATGGTACTCCAAGTGGTGCTTGTATTCCGTGACAAACGGGCATTTGTAGCAGCTCATCATCTTGTTGGGCTTAATGTGGATCCGTATGTGGTTCCAATACTCAAGCTTCGTCACCGCCTTGAAGCCGCAGTTCTTGCAGAGGAAAGTCTTCATCTTGCCTTGTAAATTTATATGGGGCACTCCCGGCTCATTGTTGTAGCTATTTGTCTTATGGCCGTCCCGCGACGATGAGTCGCGGTTCTCCTGGTTGTGAAAGTATCTCAGCTGCGTTGACACCATGTTGATTTGTTCCACGCTAATGTTGCTCCGAGATATGATGTGATTGTTCAAATGCTCAATGATCTCTTCCCTGGAAGGAAGAAAGATACAACATATACATATATACATACAGGGTCTGCCAAAAGTTCCAGAATGGCTAATTATTTAAAAAAATAATGATTGTTTAAAACAATGTTTGAAACAAATTTGTAGGGCTTAAAAAAGCTGTCAGATATTGATAATTGTTTGACCTTGAAATGACCTTGAGAAACGTTATCAAGGTCGACATAAAAAATCTTAAATGGAAACTCCAATTTTTTATTACACCGTCGTTTCCACCAATTAATTTAAATAACTTTTGTCTGAAACATTTTTTTATTTGCCTAATATTTTTTGAGATATTTAAGGATATCTTGGTAACTTTTTCAATATTTAACTTATGATATCTTGCTAACTGTTTGTCGGGATAAAAAATGGTATTAGACTTTTCTATTCTACTTGATCTCAAGAATATCAAGAAAAAATCCGGTTTATATTTGAATGACCCTCGTACATATATATGTACATATTCATATACATATACATATACGTATACATATTTGCCTTAATTCGGTCATTGTCTCCATGAGCTGCGTAAAAATTGTTCTGAGACACCCTATATACTATATGTCGATTGTTCGGTTAATCTGTCATTTTGACAGTTTGACTATGTATCATATTTTTTTAATAATATTATCATATATTGAATGAGTGCAAAAGTTTGGATGGGTTTTTTAAAGATGTCGCGATTAAGTTTTATGGCAACACTTATAAATATTTAGATATATATATATATATAACATAGAAAAAATAATAGAAAATAATGACGATAATTTAATATAATAAAAAGAAATAGCTTATTTTTCTACCACAAAACCCGTCAAAACTTTTACACTTGCCTAATATATCACAATACCGTATAATAAAAAATATTTCGAATTTTTCAGCTGAACAGAAACAATTCTATTTTTATATCGTTATATTTTATGAAGCAACGTATGCCAAAAATGGCTTTAACTCAAAATGGCGCTCATATTGTTTCATAAAATTATAACGATATAAAAATACAATTGTTTCATTTTACTTTTGATAAATCCGTAATTATTTGTATGATACAATTCAATAATTATATCAAAACATTATAACATATCTCAATACGATGAAAAAGCGATTATAAAAATCATTAGAAAGATTAGAGAATTTCAGCTAAAATAAAGATTCAATCAATGCTTCATTGAAGCTTTATTGAAGTAACTGAGATTGGAAGTAACATTTGAATCGCATGATTCCAAGATAATATGAACGCATTCTCATCAAATGGGCAACAATTATATTAATTGTTGCTCTTATTACAGAAAGACTGTGACGTACCTGTTGTTTGTAGTAAAGTCGCAAATTGCGCATTTGTCGTCTAAGTTGCCGCTGGAAGGGCCTTCACCCGGATCGTAGTTCTCCGTCATACTGTCCGCCTGCGATTCAGATTCTTCGGACTGCGAGTTGTTTTTACACTAGTACTCGGTGCAGGATTCAAGTCTTGGTAAATGATATTAACGTCAAGCGATATTAACGAATTGTCCAAAACAGACGATCGTATAATGTCGCTGCAGCAATCGCTACTGCAGCTGTTTTATTGTTCTCGTCAAAATACTTTCTGCGGAAAAGAAGAAAATACTGAAGAACTTTGTCGAATCGTTCTCTTTTCGGAAAAAAAATAAGTAAATGTATAGGTACAGGACAGTCGCAGAACCGGTTGATTATCAGGAATAAAAATGTGTGACAAAGAGGAAAAGGCGAGGTGAGAATTTATATTATTTCAGACTTTAAAGGATCTTTATTTTCACTACATTGTTGTCTTACGAACACATTCGCTTTCTCCAAATATGATTTACAGTAAAGTTTGATAATTTTCGTTCATCATGTGCGACTTATTCCTTTCCCCTTTTTGTTTTATTTTTTTTCAAAACGCATACTTTCATGTTCATCCGACAACGTGAAGAAAGAAAGAAAAATCAGAAACAAGTGCAAATGAGAGGAAGAATTTTCCGGTATAGTCGCCCTCCGAAGGCTCAACGTCGATATGGCCATTATAATCGAAGTCGCAGCGACATTTTGTTTCGTTTTTGGCGCAAAGGGAACAATTCGAAAGATGAAGAGGATAAAATACGTGATGTATGTACACGGGGAGATTCGTAGAAAAATCTAAAGAAAGGGAGAAAGAGAGGGTGAAATTCACAAGAGGTCAAGTCGGTAAGGGGTTGAGCAATTATTTACCAAGATCTTTCCAAGCAGGCGTAACAGTAGTAGTAGAAGATGGAGTAGAGATTCGCTCTTTAACAAACGATTCGTCTTATTGTTTCTGTTGTTGTTGTAGTCGTTATTTCAATGCTCGCACACAGAATTCCCTCGTACCGATCGGGCGCCTGCTTATCTTGCCGCGGTCCTTAAAGATAGCGAAAGATAGATTAGCCTTCGTTCCGAGGAAAGAACGAGGAATATTCGAAATTTTGTTCCTATACTGCGATCGTCTCGAGCGTACGGAAAACGGGTTTTGCTCTAGTTTCTTTGGAAATTGTCATACTACTAACAATACTTGTCGTACTGATATTTTACCAGTAGTTATAAATGAGAACAGACGTTACCGAAAGTTAAATACAATGGCACAGTTAGGAAAACGAATTAATGCAAGGATGAACAATATGAATACACGCAAAAGCGAACATATAAGGATAAAAAGGTTGCTTTCCGTCTACGTTCTCTTCCATGAGAAACTAGATCATTTTTCTGGATCTTCTTTTGTCGTAAAAATTTAGCCATGCAAGGTCAAGCTATGCTGACAAAAGTCTCAGCTGGATCACTCAGTAGGAAACTCTTTCATTTTACGAAAAGAGTTTCTCAAGAGTTGAAAATTTGTTCTCCCGTTCGAATACGAGGGTAACATCGTGCTCTGCTCGTTACATCACATTGGAAACTAAATATTGCGCTAAAGGGAAAATATTTTCCTCCGTAAATAATTAATTAAGGAAAAACGGACGAAGAAATAAGTAATAAGCAAATAGACAGATAAATAAGAAAAAAATTAATTAATTCGTTTCTTCGATCAACAACGTTCGAGCGACTCAATATCGCGGAAAACAATTTCAATACACTATTAGACACACAGTTCAGTTCTCTCGACGGGAATTCTTTCTTTTCATCCACATAACGTGAAGCCACTGCGAAAATGAATGAAAGAAATTGGCATAAGGATTCGGTAAGATGACCTCGTCAAGCGCTCGAGAAACGCAGAAAAATGATCTACATCGGTCATTTTGTACTTACTACTTGCCCTTTTCACGGTATGATTTGGGTATGTGAAAGAGAATTGGACAAGGACCATCCACTATCCTTTTTAGAACTAAACAGAACTAAACTGTCTAACCTTTCGCGGAAAGAAGCTTAACATTATTCAAAGCAAAAATTTAGAAAATGACTATTTTCGCTATTTTCCGTAGGTGTTGAACACATCGTGGGAGCTGTTAAACGATCACAAAGGAGGGAACATTACAAAGTGACGGGAAAATTTGATGCGAAATTCTCTTCTCGATGAGAACAAAATTGAAATTTTCTTTTCATATTATTGAATCAACGCAATGTTGGTTTTCTCGACACATCATTTCTCTCACGGCAGTCTTTTTATCAGGCGCGCGGAAAAATTCAATTCATCGAATTTCCTGTATTTTCATTCCACTATACAAGGTTCAAAAATATTTTTATCGTGGTGCGGTCAGTTCATTCAAATGGAGCCAGCACCCTTCCATTCCCGGAATATCGGACAACCCCTTGACGACTGGCTATTAATTCCGATTTCGATCAATTCTCGCCTGTCTCTTCCACTCGAGGAAGGATTGCGATCACCGCACAAATTGTCATTCTTCAACGAGATCGTGCTCATAGCTTAGTTTTTGCGAGCGAACGACGAGTGAAAAATTGAAAAATATCGCGCGAAATTTACTGAGACTCGATTAATGAAACCACGGGAAGAGCGCCAAGTGAGCGACAATAACGCGAATGTATCCAAATTTACTCTGAGAATTTTTACTTGTCACTTTGAAGTTGTTAAATCACAATTCCTATGATCGAAAATCCTTCTTAATTTTTCCACGGATTTCTTTGAAAAAGCGCCGGCAGATCTTTATCTAACCTTGCGCGAATTTGCGCGCTCATGAAACGCTGATGAGGCGGGAGACTTCGTATAACATTTCTATCCTTGAGACTTTGCATTCTCGTTGAATAGCAATCTATGAGAATCTTAGTTGACTAAAATAATCGACATCAATCGAAGTCATTGGTCAAAATTAATTAATCATCATATATGTAATAATAATAATAATAATAACACTTATTAACAAAAATTATTATTACCATTGCATATTGTTATTATTATTGTTATTGTTATTATCATTATATTATAATTTAATCGATTGAAACAGTTATTATATGTGATGACGCGATTTATTTACTTGGCGATTTATTTTATGTTAATAGTCAATGGAAATTTTCATCAATTAACGTCTCGTACATTGTAGCTTCTTCGTAATCGACGGGAATTCCCAAATCTCAACTTTATCGGCTCGGGAATATTTTGGCGAATTCGATTGCATGGATGCGCACCGAGGGCGGACATGATTTATTCATAATCCGTTCTTTTATTTATGATCATCTCAAGTTCACCTTGAAATCTTTTGTAACTAATGAAACCTAATGAAAACCTAATGAAAACTAATGAAACAATCCGTATAGTTGCTATACTGACCGTTTTATTGGCTACGGAAGATTTATAGATGGATTTAAAAAAAATTTTAAATTTAAAAGAACGGACAATGAATAAACCTTAGTCCGCTCTTAGTATGCGCTAGTGCATCCAATCGAATTCGCCACTTGTAAAACGATCGAGCGTTATCAGAATGGACATCTCATCGATATCCTGAGTGGATTCGTCAAGTTTGTCGTCGAGATTGCCAATGAAAAATCCACTCTCAAATTTCATGCTTCCCCATTCGTCCTATCATGTTATCATCATGTTATCATCGGAAATCATCTTTGTTATCGCGCTCTGGCGGATGAAGAACAAGTAATAAAGAACGGTTTCAAGGCCCAAGGGTCGAAAGCGCGGGGTTTCGGGAAAGTTTCGAGTTAGGGAAAAATTTCTAAGTCGCGCTCCGCATTACAAATAGCTTCGGAAACAGAATCGTCACTTCGGTAACATTAACCTGGTATTTATCAACGGTTGCCGCAAATATGCGAAGAATACCGCAGCAGTTCCTTTCCCGTGTGCCGTGCGGTAAAATGTCTCGCCAGTTGGGAAATTAAGAGGAGTCGAATCGGGAGAAAACTCCGTGTATTTGGAAATAGAAAATTCCGCGGAGAAAAATTTGCAATCGCGACTGAATCACTAGTTTCGACGCGATCAGACAAATTTGTTATCAGACACGTTATGAGCCACGTGCGAGTCTTCCTTGAGGAGAGCCAATCGTGGACGTCTTCGATCAACTGCTAGTCAAAGACGTTCTCAAGAACGACCACCTTACTTTAATAAATAAAGTATAAAGAAAATGACAGATAAAATGAAGGCAACAGTAAAACAGAAGAAAACCGCGTAAGACTCGAAGTGGCGATTCGAATTTTTGAAATTCCTTTCCAAGCAAGGAGAAGCATTTCAAAGGTGAACAAACTGTCCTCGACGGAAGAGACGAGGATATCTCATTCCAGGAGACACCTCCTGCACAGGCTCCTGGGGGAGCCAGAAAATTCGCTCTTTGCCGGCTCAACTTGCCGAGCCAATTTGAGTCTCATACGATTTAATAATAAATGGAATTTACCTAATGTGTGACGACCGCCATTCCTGTCAGCATCGTTCCGACCTTACCAGAGATTCTGATAGTCCGTATCAGTAGTGACTTTTCCGTCTTTAGGCGACCCTCGTCTTTCACTTTTCTTCTTTCCTTCCTCTCTCTCTCTCTCTCTCTCTCTCTCTCTCTCTCTCTCTCTCTCTCTCTCTCTCTCTCTCTCTCTCTCTTTTTCTTTTCTTCTTTCTTTTTCCTGCTCGATCTCTCTCTTTCCCTCTCTTGTTTCGATCTGTACCTCGACGAAGACGGTGACAGATGAAAAATCAATCAAAATCAAGTATCTTTTCGGAAGGTAACGTTGATCGCGTTAATAATCCGTGTAAAAAGGACGACGCGATCGAATTACGACATGTACATGTCACACATACCGCTATAATCGTATATACGCGAAAAGAAAGAAGAATATATATATTTTTTATTTATATATATATATATTTATATATATTTATATATATATATATATATATATATAATATATATATATATTATATATATATAGAGCAAGAATATGACAAACACAATAGTTCACGCGAATGCTCTACGTCAACTGACAGCAGCAGTTTTAGGTCCCAAAG